AATCTCCAGGTGGGACCTGGAGATCTCCCACTGCTACAATTGATCTCCAGATGACAGAGATCAGTTCCCCTAGAGAAAATGACTGCTTTAGGAGGGTAGACCCTATGACATTATACCTGCTGAGTCCTTCCGCCCCCCCCCCGCCCAATGCTGCCCTCTACAGAATCCACCCCCCAAACCTCCAGGTATTTCCCTCCTTAGAGCTGGCAACCCTACATTCCCCTCAGTGCCTGTTGGGAGTGGGTGGTGGGGGAGGGGAAGGGAGCAGGCGACCGGTCCTGGAGTGGGGGGGTGGAAACGGACCCGGCAGCCGGAGGCTTGCACCTCCAGTCACCGGCCCTGGAGTGAGTGGGGTTGGGTGGGGGGAAACGGACCCTGCGGCCGGATGTCTGAGGAGGAGGATTTCTGTCTCCTCCTCTTTCTCCTCCTCCTCCTCTAGGGATATTCTGCAAATCCCACGGATCCCTGGATGGCCAAGCTCAAGTAGACCTTCATCCCTTACCGTCATCATCATCCCCATCGTCAATAATAACAGCAGAACCCATTCCAGAGCAGAAAATAGATTCAGGTGGGTAGCTGTGTTGGTCTGAAGCAGCAGGATAATGTTTGGATCCAGGGGCAGCTTTAAGTTTCAACCAAGCTATAAGCTATCATGTGCACGCATACTTCTTCAACGAACTCCCCCATCCTCTCTCTTCCTATATCTAATGGTTGAGGAAATTCTGTTTCACTGTATCTGAAGAAGTGTGCTTGCACACGAAAGCCTATACCTTGAACAGAGCAGAAGATAGAAAGTAACTTCACCCAAGAGTCTCCCATCTGAAGGTGAAAGAAGGAATGCAAGAAACGAAGAGTGAGAGGGGGGGAGACTGGGGCAAGGGGAAAACGTGCATGGCTTCCAGTTTCAAAAGTGGTGGAGGCATACCAGTACTGTGGGAGAAAGCTCCAGGCATATCTGACAGCAGGCGCTAATCAAGAAGTGTTTCTTGGAGATACTAAATGAGGAGGAAAAGAGCAACCAGGGGCTTGTCTGAAGCAGAGGCTTCACAGCCATTCTGTGGGTAGGAGGGTGACCCTGGCATTGTATCTGTGATAGGGAGAAGGGCTTGGAAGGAAAGAGAAGGTCGAGTCCAGGAAATATACTGAGAGCTGGAGATCTCTCAATGGCAGCGCAGACATCCAAATGGAAATTTCAGACTGACAACTGGAGAGGCAGGGCTGGAAGGAGGGAGAAAGCTCAGAGGCAGAGCCGGGTGTCATCTGTGTGAAGGTGGTGATGAATGAACACCGTGGGAGTGGACAAAGTCACCCAAGGAGAAGTGCATTTAGATTATAAGGTAGTGAGATACCATAAGAAAAGGGAAAAGACACACTTCTCCCCACCCCACCCCGAAGAACCAGGGGGAAAGGAGCAGAATTTGCAAGAATTTGGAAGTAGGAAAAGAAGTAGCTAAGGACGGGGTCATGGAAACCTAGGGCCTGAAGCAGCAGAAGAAATAAATCTATTAAAGGCAGGAGTCCAAAGTGGAGACCTTGTGGGGGGGGCAGGGAGGATGCATCGGGACATGCCTGAATGCATCGTGAAAGATGGAGAGGAATTCCTCCAGGTGGTGCGATCTGGAGTGCTTTAGGAGTGTTGCGAAACCAGATACGTGGTAGATGAGACAGAGGACGGGATGATTTTTTTTGATGGATAAAATCAGCCTGCAGTTTTGTCCTCCTCCAAAGGGTGTTCAGCTGCACCAGCAAAGGAACTGAGACCGCTGGTGGAGAAAGTGAGAGGAACGATTTGTTAGCAGTTGGGGGGAGTGAGTGAAGAACAGGGAAGTCTTGAAGGCAGAAATTGCAGGGGGGACAAGACTTCAGCAGTTCCTTTCCCTGAGCCTTGCATATGTTCTACTTTTGTTATAAACCTGGAGGGCAACAATTTGTTCCTCATCCCCTTGAGGACTGACAAAACGATGCTCAGAGGTGTTGCTCATCACAGTACCTAAGCTGTGTTTTCTCCACCCATTTTTTTCTCCTTACAGGAGAGCTCTCAATGGGGGTGAGGAATGAGACACAGGTGGTGGAATTTGTCTTCCTGGGTTTCTCTGGCATTCTGAACAGCCACATCTACCTCTTCCTGCCATTCCTAGTCATTTACTTGGTCACCGTGCTGGGGAACCTCACGATATTTACTCTGATTCAACTGGATTCTAGCCTCCGTATGCCCATGTATTATTTCCTCAGCCATCTCTCCTTCCTAGATACCTGCATCTCTTCCGTCACAGTCCCCAAGATCCTGGTGAACTTCTTGCGCCAGCGACAGACCATCTCCTACAACCAGTGCCTGGCCCAGATGTTCTTCCTGATCTCTTTCACGGGGACAGAGGGTGCGTTGCTGGGCGTCATGGCCTACGACCGCTATGCTGCCATCTGCAAACCTTTGCATTACTACGGCCTCATGAACACCAAGGTGTGCACCATGCTAGCCTTGGCCTCTTGGGTCTGGGGCGCCCTAGACTCCGCCCTTCATACAGCGCTCAGCACCACGTTGTCCTTTTGTGGCGTCAACCAGATTCATCACATCTTGTGCGATGTCCCCCCACTGCTGAAAATTGCTTGCAATGATGCACACATCAATGAAATGACAGTCCGCATAGCAAGCTATTTTGTGGGTGGGGGGCCTTTCCTCTTCATCATTCTCTCCTACTCCTTAATTCTACGCTCCATCCTGAAGATTCGTTCCACCACGGGCAAGCGCAAAGCTTTTTCCACCTGTGCTTCTCACCTCATCGTTGTCATCATTTACTACGGAAATGCGCTAGTTAACTACAATAGACCAAGCACTGGTGGTGATTCCATGGAGACTGACACTGTGGTCTCCATCATGTACTGCATAATCTCCCCTATGCTGAACCCGCTCATCTACAGCCTCCGCAACAAGGAGGTAAAGGGGCCCCTGAGGAAGGTGCTGGGAAGCTGGAGGAAGACTGCACGTCCCCACAGTACGAGTTAGGGCGAGTGGGAGATGGCTTCGGTTCCCTTTGAGAGCTACATAGCTTTAAAACCCTGTGAACTGTGCTGTTAACGGGACTGTTATCTTGCTATAGTGGGACATGTTGAAGCGATAAGGAAGACCCGGATTCAGGCGCTGAACAGAAACACATGAAACTGGGTACTGAGACACAAACAGAGCACGACACAATAAACCAAAGTCAAGAAATAAGAAAGGCAAAAGAATAAAAAGAATGAACACCAATAGCCACAGGGAAGAGCCCGCAACACACACTCTTTGTTTGATGCTTCTCTCAGTAGAAGGAGGTGGGAATAGCTTATGTGATAATAACATTTTGGTTAGCTTCTGAGGTGTCCCAAAACCCTTATCTGCTTCTCCCGGCACTGCCTAACACAGCAGCTACCCCAAAGGAAGAACAGAGCTCAGAATACAGGCTCAGTCACGGAGCCCCTTTTCTCATCCATGCTATATTCTTCATGTTGACCAAAAATGGGTTCTACAGATGTGAGACTAGGGGGTGAGGTTTTAAGACAGTCAGTGTTACAAAGTGCCATGGGGGAAAGTCCGAGAGAGCATTAGAAAGGCAGGCACTCACAAGAGAAACACAGCCTTCCACTCAATCAGGTGAAGAGAAAGAAGAAAAGGCCTTCCCAGATGGAGGGAGAGGAAGTACAAGAGGTGGTGGAGGGAAAAGGAACCCCCATTCACTGTCATACGAGCCCCCCCCCCCCGCTGCTGGGATTGGGACGAAGTTATCTGTACCATTGTTCTCTGTGTCTATACAGTCCATATAACTGCTTAAGTATATTCTATGTACTTCTGTTTTAGTTGCGCCTTAAAATGCCCTGATGTTTTAATGCTGAATTTTTGTTTATATATTTTATTATATTTCTACCCCGCCTTTCCCGAAGGCTCGGGGTGGATTGCAACAATAAAACAATGACTGCATATAAAAACACATCATCTGTAACTAATGTTCCCTCTAAGCTGTGGAGTCGTGTGAGCAAAAATCCTACTTTGTGAGCTACTGGCACTAAAGTTGTGAGCGAGCGCTTTGGCTACGGCATCAATTAGTTTGCTCTGGAGCCCTCCTTCCTGAGCAAAGACAAAAATGTGTGAGCCTGAGGCTAAAAAACTGTGAGCTAGCTCACACTGACTCAGCTTAGAGGGAACACTGTCTGTAACGTAATAGAACCAGACACTGGCCATTCATAAACAATCAATAACGTATAGGGAAGTGAATGGGTGGATGAGTTTCAGGAGGGGGCAACAGAACAAGATCAGAAAAGGACCTCCCTGAACTAGACTGACTTGCAAGCCCACCAGAAGCTCAGAAGGGCTCGAACTTCATCCATCAAGGCATTCCACCGAGATGGAGCCAAGATGTCCTGGCGGTAGCCAAGTGGACCTCTCAGTAGACCATACACTGAATGGGACTTGGTCCTAAGTAACACTCAAGGCCTGGTGAGAGATGTAAAAGTGACCGCTTGGGAACAGTGATCATAATGTTGTTGAGTTCAACATTTGTACAAATAGGGAATTGGCCAAAAAGACTCACACAACCACGTTTAACTTTAAAAGGGGTAACTTCTCTGATATGAGGGGACATGTGGGGAGGAAACTGAAAGGAAAAGCAGAAAGGGTCAAAACCATTGGGGAAGCTTTGAAACTATTTAAAACTACGATCCTAGAAGCTCAGAAACAATATATCCCGCAGGTTAGGAAAGGCACAAACAGGTATAGGGAAAAGCCTGCATGGTTAACAAACAAAGTAAGGGAAGCTGGAAAAGGTAAAAAGGATTCCTTTAAGCAGTGGAAAGCTAGTCACAGTGAGGCTGATAAAACGGAACACAGGCTATGGCAAATAAAATGCAAGTCTGTGATCAGGCAGGCAAAGAGGGAATATGAGGAGCATATAGCAAAAAACGTCAAAACCAACAATAAAACTTTCTTCAAATACATTAGAACCAGGAAACCAGCCAGGGAGGCATTGGGGCCCATGGATGACCAAGGGGTAAGTCACCACACCTTAAAAAGGATATTATAGCTTTGGAAAAAGTGCAGGAAAGGGCAACTCAAATGATAAAAGGGTTGGAACACTTTCCCTATGAGGAAAGGTTAAAGCGCTTAGGGCTCTTTAGCTTGGAGAAACGATGATTGAGGGGTGACATGATTGAGGTTTATAAGATTATGCATGGGATAGAGCAGGTAGAGTAAGAGGTACTTTTCTCCCTTTCTCACAATACAAGAACTCGTGGGCACTCCATGAAATTGCTGAGCGGTCGGGTTAGAACGGATAAAAAGAAGTACTTCTTCACCCAAAGAGTGATTAACACATAGAATTCACTGCCACAGGAAGTGGTGGCGGCTACAAGCATGGACGGCTTCAAAAGGGAATTAGATAAGCATATGGAGCAGAGGTCCATCAGTGGCTATTAGCCACGAGGTATAGATAGGGGCTCTGGGGCAAGTGATGCTCTGTCTTCTTGGTGCCTGGGGGGGGGGTCAACAGTGGGAGGGCTTCTAATGTCCTGGCCCCACTGCTGGACCTCCTGATGGCACCTGGTATTTTTGGCCACTGTGTGACACAGAGTGTGGACTGGATGGGCCTTTGGCCTGATCCAACATTGCCGTCTCTTATGTTCTTATGAGTCAGCAGTGTGATATGGTAGCCATTTTCTGCTGTATTGACAAAAGTATAGTGTCCAGATCATGAGATGTGATGGTATCACTTTACTCTGCTCTGGTTAGACCTCACCTAGAGTATCGTGTTCAGTTTTGGGCGCCACAATTTAAGAAGGATATAGACAAGCTGGGATGTGTCCAGAGGAGGGCAACAAAGATGGTGAGGGAAATGCTTCCTTTAAGCTGTGGAGTCCTGTGAGCAAAAATTCTACTCTGTAAGCTACTGGAGCATTAGAGTTGTGAGTGAGTCATTTGGCTACTGCATCTATTAGTTTGCTCTGGAGCCATTCTTCCTGAGCTAAGACAAAAATGGGTGAGCCAGAAGCTAGAAAACTGTGAGCTAGCTCACACTAACTCAGCTTAGAGGGAACACTGGGTGAGGGTTCTGGAGACCGAGTCCTATGAGGAAAGGATGAAGGAGCTGGGCATGTTGAGCCTGGAGAGGAGACAACTGAGAGGTGGTATGATAACCATCTTCAAGTACCTAAAGGGCTGTCATATGGAGGATGGTGCGGAGTTGTTTTCTATTGCCCCAGATGGTTAGACCAGAACCGACAGGTTGAAATCAAATCAGAAGAGTTTTCAGCTAAACATTAGGAAGAACTTCCTGAGAGTTAGAGTGGTTCCTCAGTGGAACAGGCTTCCTTGGGAGGTGGTGGGCTCTCCTTCTTGGGAGGTTTTTAAGCAGAGGCTAGGTGGTCATCTGACAGCAATGCTGATTGTGTGAACTCAGGCAGATCATGAGAGGGAGGGGAGGAAGGGTTGCCTCAGTGCTTAGTTCTTGTGGCCCTTTCTTACACACTCAGGGAAATGCTGATCACCATTTTGGGGTCAGGAAGCAATTTTTCTCTGCGCTGGCTTGGCCAGGGATGCTGGAAGGTTTCTGTCATTTTCTGGGCATGGAGCAGGGGTCACTGTGGGTGTGGAGGGGAGGTAGTTGTGGATTTCCTGCATTGTGAAGGGGGTTGGACTATATGGCTGTGGAGGTCCCTTCCAACTCTATGATTCTATGATTCTAGAAGAGAGCAGTCCGTATGCGGGCAGTCTCTCTTCAGGTGTCACCATGGCCCACAGGAATAGCACAGGACTCTGGGCCCTCATTCCTGTCCAGGGTGTGGCAGCCGAAAGGCATATTCCATCCACTCAAGGTGGCTTTGCAGGAAGATGTTCTGGGACTAGGGGTGATAGCCCCCAGGGAGCTGTCTTTCTAGTGGAGCCATTTCTGTAGAACTCTCTCCCAATTAATTAGGGAGGATTAGAAGAACAGGATTACACCAACATCGGATCAGAACCTGATCTGAAAGCAAGGTGTGAAAAGAAAGACAGGGTTGTATCTGGAATCTCAGGACAGGCATTTTAGAAGAGGAGGAGGAGGAGGAGGAGGAAGAGACTGGATTTATACCCCATCTTTCACTCGGTGTCTCAGAGCGGCTTACAAACTTCTTTCCCTTCCCCTCCCACAACATACACCCTGTGAGGTAAGTGGGGCTGAGAGAGCTCATCCTAGAACTGTTCTTGAGGGAACAGCTCTGATGGAACTATGGCTGGAATGCAGGATGCAGGAATAGACCTCAGACAGACTATGAGAGGGTCAGATTGCTGGTCTCAGTTCTTGGGAGAATGTGAGCTTGCAGACTGAACTGGTAAGAAGAATTCAGGCAGCAATCCCTGGGAGAAAGTTTACAACACATCGGTGTTTACCCAAAGCCATCAGGCTAGGCATTGCTTCACCTGTTCTGGACACCTCTGTGGGTACAAGTTGTGTATCCCCTGACACTATGATGCAATATCCATTGTGTCTGGCTTCAATAAGTTTGCTTAAAATGTCCCATGTGAGCCACCAATTCTCGAAAGTTCCAGCAATTACACACCATTCCATGTGGGTTTCCAACTGAGGTTGGTCCCCCAGGCCCCCAGGCCAAGTAAAGCATTCTCATCTCTCATCTATCTCAGTCTTGTACGAACTGGTAACAGGGACATGCTCTTCCTGTTGAAGATGGAGAGAGACCTTCCAGACCGGCTGTAGGGTCCACGTTTGGGGATTACCAACCACCGCCACGCCTTAGCCTTCGGGCTAAGCAATATCTTCACTCTGACCTGGCAGTCTAGCAACACGGGCAGTGAAAGACCGTGTGGTCTCCCTTTCCAACATGAACTGGGACTGAACTGGAGGAAAAGCCATACATCCACCCACCCACCCACCCACCCACTTACCT